TTCTTTCAGCAATGTTTTATAGTTTTCATTGCACAAGTCTTTTACTTTCTTGGTTATATTTATCCCTAAGTATTTAATCCTTTAAATGCTATTGTAAATGGAATTGCTTTCTTAATTTCTTCTATGGATTGTTCATTGATGATGTATAGAATACAATTGATGTTTGTGTGTTGATCGCGTACCCTGAAACTTTGCCAAGTTTTCTCTTTAGCTATAGCAATTTTCTTTTAAATTAATTTGGATTTTCTATGTATAGGACCAGGCCAACTGTGAATAGAGACACTTTTACCCTTTCCTTTCCAATTTGGATGCCTTTTATTTCTTTTTCTTCTCTAACAGATCTGGACAGAACTTCCAGTACAATGTTGAATAGAAGCTATGAAAATGGGCATCCTACCCTTGTCCCTGATCTTAGGGGGAAAGCTTTCATTATTTTGCCATTGATTATTATGAGTTTTTCATAAATGCCCTTTATTATATATATCATATATATATTATATTATATTTATCCCTTATTTCCAGTTTCTGAGAGTTTTTATCAGAAAAGGTTGTTGGATTTGTCAAATGACTTTTCTGCATCAATTGAGATGATCATTTGTTTTTTCCCTTCATTCTATTAATGTAATGTATTACATTGATTTTCTTATGTTGAATCACCCTTGAATCACTGGGATAAATCCCCCCAGGTCCTGGTGAACAATCCTTTTAAGATGCTGTAGATTCAATTTGCTAATATGTTTCTGTAGATTTTTGCATCTATATTCATGGATGGTTTGTAAAACTCCCTAATTTTTGGTTATATTAGGATATCTTCATTTCTCCTGTTTTGAAAGGTAGTTTTGCTGGATATAGAATTCTTGGATGACAGTTTTTTCTTTCAGTACTTCTAATATATCAACTCACTCTTTTATGATCTCCAAGGTCTTCAAGGATGAAAACTCTGCTGACAATGTTATCGAGGATCCCTTGTATATGATGAGTCACTTCTCTCTTGTTGCTTTCAAGATTGTCTTTTTGGCTTTTGACAGTTTGATTATAATCTGTTTTGGTGTGGGTCTATGTGATTTATCCTACTTAGAGACATTGAGCTTCTTGGATTTGTAGATTCAAATATTGCAACAAATTTGGGAAGTTTTCAGTCATTATTTCTTCAAATATTCTTTTTGAAGTTTTTTCTCTTTCTTCTCCTCTAGGACTCCCACAATGCATATGTTGATCTTCTTGATGATGTTACACAGGCCCTTTAGGCTCTGTTCACTTTTCTTCAATCTTTTTTCTTTCTGTTTCTCAGACTTGATAATTTCAATTGTGCCATCTACAAGTTTGCTGATTTTTATGCCTGCTCAAATATGCCTTTGAATCCCTCTAGTGGATTTTTCATTTCAGTTATTGTACTTTTCAGCTCAGAATTTCTTTTGGCTCCTTTTTATGCTTTCTATCTTTTTATTGACTTTCCAATTTCTCTCATACATTGTTTTCCCGAATTTGTCCATGTCTTCATTTCGTTCTTTGAGCATCTTTAAGACATTTGTTTGAGTCCTTGTCTAGAAAGTCCTCCATCTGTTCTTCTTCAGGGATGGTTTCTTTTGATTTATTTTTTTTCCTTTGAGTGGGCCAAACTCTCCTGTTACCCTGTGAATTTTTGTGGAAAAGTGGACATTTGAATTTTAAAATGTAGTAATTCTGGAAATCAGATTCTCCCCCTTCTGCAGGGTTTGCTGTTTAAAATTTTTTTAAAAAATTGTTCTAGGTTGTCTCTGTGCAAGGGATCAGCTTGAGGTATAAGCTTAAGGTCTTCTCAGATCTTTTTTGTTCATGCATTTTTCCCTGGCTTGTGCAGTGACTTTCTAAATTTCCCTGTATATGTTGTTATTTTTGAATGTCCTAATCCTTAAATGTCTCACTTCCAAAAGGGGGAAAAGGGAAAAATGAAGAAAAAATGAAAAAGGTGCTTTCCCTCTAAATTCCCTGAAAGCCACTTCAGCTGATGGTGGTTGCAACAATGGTGGCCTGCCTTTCTGTCTGCATGTCCTTGATCCAAAGTATTAATCTGCAATCAGAGCACAAATTCCTGATATTTGGAGGACAAGGTCCTTATTGCCCACATGACTCTCACAAGCTGCTCTAGGAACACTGATTTGCTACCTTCCGTGGGGCTGGGGATTGGATGATGGGTAGCCACTACTTCACTAATGTGTGAGACTGACTGAAAGTAACTACAGTTTATAGGCCATCTCTTCCCCTGGAAGTATTCAAATAGACATCTGAGTTTCAAAATAATTACATCAGACAGTTTCTGCCAGTACAATTGTTGTCTAGGTGGATAGACATATTCTTGGAGCTTCCTACTCTGCCATCTTCCCTGATGTCACTTCTTGCTCCTTTTTGATTCTCTCTTTTATTTTATACAAAGTTATTTTATTGTTGTCAAGATTCTCCCCTTTTCTTTGCCTTTCAGCATTTTTACTATGATGTTTCTGTGTGTGGATCTCTTTGTATTTATCCTACTTGGAGTTTGTTGAACTTCTTAGATGCAGAGGTTAATGTTTTTCATCAAATCTGAGAAGTTTTCAGGCACTACTTTTTCAAATATATTTTTTGCTCTTTTCTCTCCTCTCCTTTTGGTGCTCCTACTTTGCATATATTGATGTGTTTAATGGTGTCCCATAGGTTTCTGAGGCTCTATTAATTTTTCTTCATGACTTTTTCTTTTTGTTCTTTGGATCACATGATCTCTATTGATCTGTCTTCAAATTGCTACTTATTCTGCCAGTTCAAATCTACTGTTGAGCCCCTCTGGCAAACTTTTCATTTCAGTTATTGTACTTTTCCATGACAGAATTTGCTTTTGGTTCTCTAAAAAATAATTTCTATCTCTTTATTGATATGTTTTATTTGTTGAGATTTTTCAGTATACCTTCCTTTACTTCTTTAAGCATTGTTTAATTTAGTCTATTGAATACATTTATTATAGCATTGGAGTTTTTGTTAAGACTGACACCGGGTCATTTTCACAAGTAGTTTCCATTGCTTGCTTTCCCCCCCACTGTGTATGGGTTACATTTTCCTGTTTTCTGCATGTCTCATAATTTTTTGTTGAAAACTAGACATTTTAGTTAATATATTGTACAAACTCTGGTACTAGTACTCCAAGCCTTGTTATTGTTGTTTGCTTGTTTATTTATTTATTGATTGGCTATATTATTTTAGTGAAGTCTATTCCTCCTTCCCCCTGTGGTGTGAAACCTCTCATGTTGCTCCCCAGAGGGCACTGCCTTGGGCATATGCACAGTCACCCTGGGATGACAGTTTCTTTAGCAGAGCTCTCTTTGACTGTCAGTTTCCCTGACTAAACCCAAATGCTAAACTCCACTAATTTCTAGCTGAATGTTCTAATTGTTTTCATCAATGCTTTAGGGGATAAACTGCTCCACAGATATTTTCAATTACATTTAGGTTCTTCACAATAGTTTTTGAAGCAAATATTTGAAGTTTGTTCTGACTACAGGAGGACTCTTCTTAGATATATATTTTCTTGGTTTTCTTCGGTAAATTATCTGGCCTGTGATTTAGCTTATATCTGTTAATGAAGCTACCAATCTCCTCTTAATTGCTTTCCACCAGAACCTCCATTGTTTTTGAGAGCATCTTTATGCTTGAACTTTCCCACACTTTGTTTCAAATAAAGTCAGTCTTGGAGAAGAGCTTCAGAGCTCTTTTTTTATGGTTTGCTTCCCTATGGGAAAAATCTCTGAGCCATGATTATAGAGCTGGGAGTGGGGATAGTAGTCTGAGTGACATCCCTGATTTAGGAGCTGGGCAGGAGATGGTATCGTGTGGTTTTCTCAGCTTGTCTCTCCTGCTGCAGAAGGTTTGACCTTCAAATGAGCCAGATCATGGGTGATGTGGGCCCCAGTATTTTCTGCACAGCATGATCAAGGTAGAATCTCCACCCCATAAGTGAGGGCTAGGTGGAAGAAGGGAGTCCCCGATCTCTTGGCTGCAATTATCTGGAAATCAGCCTCTGCAACAGGTAGCTGGGGAGCAGGATGAGATATGCTGACATTTGCCCCTCCCAGGATGATACCATAGTGGTCAATCTGAAGTTGGTGGGAGAGGGAGCCTGTGTTCTTGGCTGTGCCTACTTGGAGTGAAGTTTTCATCGCATTGGGCTGGGATGGTTTGGAAAGAAGCAGGTTGTAATTCAAATGTCAAAGAATCTCGCTGTTCTTACAGTTTTGATAGATTTTCTTGAACAAATATTTCCTCAGTTTCTGTATGTCCTTAGGACCATACTCAGAGACTTAACATGGTTGTTTTAAAAATAAATTTCACCAGTTATGCTGAGGAGCAGTTCTGCAGAGGCCTTACATTGCCATTCTGGAAGTGGAACTCCCACAGTCATTTTATATTTCATAATATTAATTTAAATATCTGATGTCCTTTGAAGTCTAAAATTGTTATTTGTATTTCTGCTTAATTTCATTCATCATGGCATTTCTTTTCGTGATTTTTGGCTTTTGAGTATGATTCTACAAAGAGTGATTTTAATCTGTGGGAATATTATGGGCCTAAATTGGGGTACATTTATTATAAGATGATTTATATGCATCTCTGTTAGGTGCTAATAGATACTACCAGTCTGAGGCTTAAAACGTTTGCTCATTTTAAAAATTTTAATGGACTTTTTAAAAAGCAGTTTTAGGTTCACAACAAAATTTAGTGGAAAGTACAGAGATTTTCCATTTACCTCCGCCACACACATGCATAGCCTCCCCCACTATCAACATCCTGATACATTTGTTACAGTTGATGAACCCACAATGACACATCATTATCACTGAAGAGTCCATAGCTCACATTAGAGTTTACTCTTGGTGATGTACATTCTATGGGTTTGGACAAATTTATAATGATATGTATCTACCATTATAGTATCATACACAGTAGTTTCACTGCCCTAAAAATCCCCTTTGCTTCACCTGTTTATACCTCCCTACTCCCTAACCCCTGACAACCTCTATCTCTTTACTGTCTCCATAGTTATCCATTTTCCAGAATGTCACATAAGTTGGAATCATACTGTATGTAGCTTTTTCAAATTGGTTTCTTTCTCTTAGGAATATGCATTTAAGGTTCCTCCATGTCTTTTCATGGCCTGATAGCTCATTTCTTTTTAGCACTGAATAACATTCCATTCTCTGGATGAATGACAGCTTATCCATTCACTTACTAAAGGACATCTTGGTTGCTTCCAAGTTTTGGCAAATATGAATAAATCAGCTGTAAACATCCATGCAGGTTTTTGTGTGGACATAAACTTTCAACTCCTTTGGGTAAATATCAAGAAGCATGATTGCTAGATAGTATGGCAAGAGTATGTTTAGTTTTGTAAGAAACTGCCAAGCTGTCTTCCAAAGCGGCTGTACCATTTTGCATTCTCACCAGCAATGAATGAGAGTTCCTGTTGCTCACATCAGGATTTTGGCCGTTTTAATAAGTGTGCAGTAGTATCACATTGTTGTTTTAGTTTGCATTTCCCTGCTGACATATGATGTGGAGCATCTTTTAGTGTGCTTATTTGCCATCTGTATATCATTTTTGGTTAAGTGTCTGTTAATGTATTTGGCCCATTTTAAAATCAGGTTGTTTTCTTACTGTTAAGTTTTAACAGTTCTTTGTATATAGTCATGCATCACTTAATGATGGGGATACCTTCTGAGAAATGCATTGTTAGGCGGTTTCATCATTGTGTGAACATCGTAGCGTGTACTTACACAAACCTAGATGGTATAGCCTACTACACACCTAGGCTAGATAGTATAGCCTATTGCTCCTTGGCTACAAACCTGTACAGCATGTTACTGTACTGAATACTGTAAGTAATTGTAAGACAATGTTAAGTATTTGTTTATCTAAACATATCTAAACATAGAAAAGGTACAGAGAACATACACTATAAAAGATAAAAATGGTACACCTATATAGGGCACTTACCCTGAATGGAGATTGCAGGACTGGAAGTTGCTCTGGGCGAGTCAGTGAGTGAGTGGTGAGTGAATAGGAAGGTCTAGGACATTACTGTACACTACTGTAGACTTTATAAACACTGTACACTTAGGCTACATTAAATTTATAAAAATTATTTTTCTTTGTTCAATAATAAATTAACCTTAGCTTGCTGTAACTTTATAATTTTTTTTAACTTTTTGACTCTTTTGTAATAACACACCTTAAAACACAAACACATTGTACAGCTGCACAAAAATACTTCATATCCTTATTCTATAAGCTTTTTTCTATTTAAAATTTATTTTATTTTTCTATTTTTAAAACTTTTTTGTTAAAAACTAAGACACAAGCACACACATTAGCCTAAGCCTACACAGGGTCAGGACCATCAATATTACTGTCTTTTACTTCCACATCTCATCCCACTGGAAGGTCTTCAGGGGCAATGACATGCATGGAGCTTTCATATCCTATGATAACATCTCCTATGATGCCTTCTTCTGGAATACCTCCTGAAGGACCTGCCTGAGGCTTTTCTTGAGGAGGTGTCACTCTTTTCAGAAAATTATCCATGGTGGTTTGCTTCTTTTTCACATCATGGATTTGCTTGTAAGCAGATAATACACCATGAGTATTCATTGGGGTCCATGCTTTTAAACTTTTTAAGGAGATTGTTGAGGTCTGCAAAACTTCTGCTAAACCCTTCACTGTGAATTTTCTTGGGGGTTCTTATTTTTCTTCTCCTGTAGTTTCCTTTTCTCTTGTTTCTTCTTCAGATATGCATTCTTCTTCCAGATCCAACAACTCCTCATTAGTCAATTCCTCTGGAACCACTTCTAGGAGCTCCTTAATGTCATCTTCATCCATGCCCAGGTTAAAGCTGTCTGCCATCTCAACCACAGCCTTGTTGATTTTTGCAACTTCCTCATCCTTGTCAAATCCTTTGAAGTCATGGATGAACCTCTTGAGTTTCTTCTTCTAGATGCCATTCATACACTCCTTGGTGACATCATCTCCAGCCCAAGCAAGGTTCTTGATGTAGTCATAGATATAATCCTTCCAGAATTGAATCTGTGTCTTCTCAGAACCTTCCTCAGTTGCAGCAATAGCCTGAGCCAAGGTCCTCCTCAGGTAATATGCCTTAAAAGCTGCTATAACTCCTTGATCCATTGGTTGGATTGAAGAGGTAGTGTTTGCAGGAAGAAAAACTGCTTTGATATTGGGATGAAGATCACCAATAAAAGGAGGATGGCCAGGAGCATTATCAATAAGCAAAATCTTGAAAGGTATGTTATTCTCCAAACAATATTTCTCCATTTCACTGGTATAGCACTTCAAGGGGGCATCTTGGAAGAGAAGCTGGGTCATCCATGACTTCTTAGTGCTTCTGTGGCAGTGTGTGCTTATTGACACACTTGAAAGCCCTGGGTTTCTCACTGTGCCAGATCACAAAGGGTTTCATTTTGTAGCCTGCAACATTGCCCCCAAGCAAGATGGCTATCCTGTCCTTAAAAGCTGTAAAACTTGGCATTGACTTGGCCTACTTATGGATGAAAGTCCTTTTAAGTATCTGTTTCCAGAATAGGGAGGTTTCATCCATATTGAATATTTGCTCTGGCAAGTAATTTTCCTCCACAATCAGCTTATCTAGAGTTTTCAAAAATTCTTCAGCTGCCTTCACATCAGCACTTGCAGACTCACCACTCCCTTTCACATTATGTAATTAATAATGATTTTTGAATCATTTAAACCACCCAAAGTTAACAGTAAATTCAACATTGTAGTCAGGTTCAGCCTTTTCTTTCAACATCACAAACAAAATTTTTGCTTTGGCTGTGATCATCACAGTGCTGAGAGGGATAATGCTTCTGTATCTGGCCTTTGATCCAGGTCATTAGAAGTTTCTCCATGCCTGACATAGGCCTGTCTTGAATTTTTGTTAGTCTTGTTGCCTTCAATGAAGCAGATCCTTTAA